ATGCCTTCACACACAGACTCCTTCACACACAGATGCTTTTACACAAGACGCTTTTACACACAGATGTCTTTACACACAGATGCCTTTACACACAGACGTCTTTGCACACAGACGCTTTTACACACAGACGCTTTCACAGACAGGCTCATTTACTCACAGGCACTTTTACACACAAAGGCTTTTACCCACAGACGCTTTTACACAAGACGCTTTTACACACAGACGTTTTCACAGACAGGAAGAACCCTTCGCGCAGACGCTCTCGGGAAAAGTTGGAAACCTGGAAAATATAGGGGAAGCATTGTCTACCTATACCACCCTGGGAACATCTTTCTATAGTTGTTTCATTTTGTAGGGTTTGCAAAATTTGATAGATGTTGAACGTTATCAAATCAGTGCTGTGGGCCCTCGGGGTCTATCGCTTTTGCGCTTGGCGTCTGGATGCTGCAGCACTTCTCAACGGCGCTATATATTGAACGTTATCACTGGAATATACTTTATAGAGTAATTTCTATGTTTCATCACCCCCACAAATAGTTCCTCCGGTAATCAAGCATGGTTTATGGAGCATTCTCCCATCTAAATGCCCATGTATAAGTTTTTTCCCAGCTAGAGGGCAATTCCAACATTGCACGTTTGGTAGTTGATACACTCTCCATATATCAAGCTATGTCAAGCTGCTTTATCAAACTATATCAAGGTATATTACATGCAGCTATATAAAACTATATATATATGTATTTATCTATTTTTTATTCATTTTTTATGAATTTATTAAATTTATTTATTTATTTTATTTAATTTGATATATATATATATAGATCTTAAATATTTTCCTTTATATATATATATCTTATTTATATTAATTATATATATATAAATTATCAAACTAAATGAAACTATCTGAATTATTTGGATAAATTATATTCACCTCACCGCGAGTTTCGGTTATTTTCAGCTTGGTGAAAAATATTTCAGCAAAAACCCATAAAACTTGACATTTCCCAATTTCTATCATCGATTAGCCATCTATATGAAACTATATATATATATTTGCACACTCACACACACACTTCTATGCGCTAAGGTGTTGTTGTTTCATGTTCAACCACCAACCAGGTCGATATAAATATAAATTTTGACAATGGTACCCGCCATACGGTCACCCAATGAGGGCACAGCTGGCGGCATGTTCGAGCACGGCTGTTCGTTGTGATATGTTACGTTTTTTTTGCTCAGAATTCAAACTGACAATGTATCCTCCCCAATGTCTAGACAATTTTTTTTTACCACGTTTTTTTTACCAGAAAATCGCCCGAGGTTGCTGCATATATGATTAGTGGCTGAAGCCTTCGTAGTTTGGTGAAAATCCATGAGGTGAAAAACTTGCACCGACGTGCTGCCGGATTTCCTGAAGCGAATCTGGTGCGGGAGGGGTGGGAAAGGGTTGATTCATCACCTTTGGATGAGGCATGGCATATGCAGACAATTTCAGACATACGTACCATTACATATTTTGATGTACAGTTATATATGTTATAGATTGTTATAGTCAGTTTAGAACCCACAGCTACATAGTCAGAAATGCATTGAAATATTGAATGTCCCTTCTATTCCAAGGGTGGGTTCCCGTGACCGTGAGGAAACCCATGGCTCTTTGACGCAACGATTTGAGTTTTAGTCCTCAGTTATGCCCCCACATATGATATGAATAGAACTGAATATAATATATGCAATATATAATTTTAATATGCCATGATGTTGTGGCATGAGCCGACCCTACACCATACACACAGCGATATGTGGGTCCAAGTTGTGTTTCTACTTCACTTAATCATCTTAATCAGTACTTAATCTTCAGAGGTGACACCACTATGCAGGGAGTCATGGAAGTTCCCATGTGTTTTGTTCAAATTTGTTCCACCGATTCTATTTTATTTTTTCCTACAAACATACGGAATCCATGGATGGGATGTTTACTCACAACAGTACAGATGTTTGTTGAATGTGCAATGATATAGTATAACCGTGCATACTCACGTATAGTCATTCTCATGTAATATCAGCCCCGCAATAGTTAATCCCTGGGCTGTCAAATTGGAGGTGTACGGTTTTGATAGCAGATGAACTCGCTGTTCGAGGGTTAACCATGGTTAACAATAATTCACCACCCTCATTAACACGCCAGGTTTATTAATTCGGGGTTGACACTAGATGTCACCCACGATTCAACAACATATTATTCTTGGAACCCATCAAATTTACTATCGAATCTTATTATTTTATAGAAACAATTTATAGGTTCTCTTGGTTTCAATCCCTATTTATGCATATATATATATATTGTATTGTGTAGGAAAAATATGGAAAATCACCCTTTCAGATCATTTTCCTACAAAAGTTGGCGGATTTCTTCGGCCGGTCGGCCTTGAGATCCTTCCGGACACCAGCATCGCGCCTGCTGCTGCGTGTGCAGAGGACCCCGGCAGGCTGTGGCTATGTGTATCTACTTGTGTTTGTACATGATTATGTGTATATATATATATATATATACGCACATAGTATAGATTTAAAAATGGAAGCATGGAGATCCATCGTTTCTTACTCCAAGCCAAACAGCGCCCTGAAATCATGGTTTTGTTTTTTTTTAAGGACCAAAAACCGGTGAAACCAACTTGGCCACGAAATGTATTTGTATGTTTATTGGTTTCGTGAGACGTTTTCTGAAAACCATTGTTTCATACTACCTGCTAGGTCTACAAGGCTCCAAATTGTGACTGTGGTGTTTTTCCGCACACTGATTTTTGTGGATTTTCCCGGGAACGACAATTTGGGCAGTTTTGGATTGACTCAGTGGCGGCTTCTTTGGATGGGCCGTGGGGTTGGTGGATTGGTCAGTAGCTGGTTATGCTGAACTCTTTCCGTTCAAAAGACCAACAGCCCTGGGGCTCATGGGTACCCAGCTGGAACCTCAGCAACAAAAAGCCAGGCTGGCCAGTCGGCAAGGCCTTCCAGTTGTAAATTCCTCTCAGCTGATTTGGATGTTGGTTGATCATATTTATATACATTTATATACCCTCTGATACCCACTGGTAATTTACATAGCCGCAGAACATGGCCCGCAATATTGAATAATTAAGTTAAGCAAATCATCGAACTAAAAGGCCAAGTTTCCATGGCACAATGTTAAATTCCCAGATGGTATATAAACTGTTATCAACATGTATCAACAATATATATATATACATACATATTCCAATGTATATGTGTATTACCCATGTAACATTATATGTGTATCCCAGTCTTGGGGTAAAACAGCCCATGACTTCATGGCTTTCCTTTCTTCCGCATCCAGTCGACGAGGATTACGAACAGCGCCTTTGCAAAGTGCTTGAGGAGGAGCTGCTCTCCGTCTCCAACAGAATATATGGGGAATGACATGCTTCCAATATCTATGATAAGATTATACTGGTATAGTTTGGTATAGTAACACCCCAAAAAAGATAGACACGTGATATTGTAAACATCGCTATTTTAACGCTCTATCTATTTGGTGGGGTAATTACTATGTATATGTGTATATATATCATATATACATATACATGCATATATAATCATATGCCACCGTCAAAAGTTGGATTTAGCCACCATATATGAAGGGGATATTCTTGGGGATATTTGCCAGATTTCATTGGATTATAACCAATGAAATCGAAAAAATATGGGTCATCAATCCATGCCCATCATGCCATTATGGGATGACATTGGGATGACTTGGATGACTCGGGGAGGCCGATTTTAAGACCCAAATGGCAACCGGTTGGGTTGCCAAGATCATTTGGTCAAGAAATTGTGTTTTTAATTCCCAATTGAAATTCAAAAACCATGAAAACATGCGACAAAAGACTGGTGTGACTCCCAAATGATACCGATCCAATGAACAGGATTTGAAGCCCAGAACTCACTAAGGCTGATTTGTTGAGAATTAGGGTAAACAACGATTTACTATGGCTTTAATTCAACACATGAGGGGTTTCTAATAGGATATCCGAGATATGTACCGATTAGTCATTGTTGTCCCAATGGCATAATGGCCACAACTTCGGAAAAAGAAACCTTCATTTTCAGATAGCTGGTGAAAACTCAGCCATTTTAGTTCTCTACATTCATCTATTGGAAAACCCTTTGAAAATGGATGATTTGGGGGTACCCCCATTTCAAGAAACTTCCATATATAACCATTGGTTGGTTCCATTTAAGAGATATGGTTGAGTTTGCTCCACGGCATGGCAGGAAAGTGGCCCCCATTTGGTGACCTTTGGACTAGGCGGGAAGCAGATGGCGATGTTTTTTTTCAGCAACACGATGTTTGATGGCTAACTTAAGTGTGATTTGCATACGATCATACATACATGTAATTACATGTATATTACATATGTATTGCCTTTGCAGTATTTATGTAAATTACATACATACCAATTGATCGGTTTAGTAAGCCAGTAAGCACAATCCAGTCTCGCTTGACTGACAATATCTTTAATGAAGAGCTCTGTTTGTTGGTGGGAAAATGGGTTGCTGGTGGATCAGTGAGGCTAACTGCTATAGACCAGTGAGGGAATCCCTAAAAAAACAATGTATAAGGGCCGGACAGAAAGGTTTTACCAGCCCGAACCGAAGTAAGTGGTGCTAGCAAGCGATTGTTGGGACTTTCGGTAAGGACTCCTCACCATTTAATTCTTGATGCTGCAGGAAAACGCATTCACTTATTATGCTGCTCATTCTACCAACCTGTTAGTGTTTGATTCTGAAACAAGAATATTATATAGGCCAAATTTGAGTTATCCTTAGCTGTTTTGCATAAGCTTAAAAATATGCCCTCCGGGCTTGTCCAAAAGCGGAGTATACCCCAAATCCATCCAAATCCACTGATGAATCATCAGAATCATCATAGTGCCCAGGCCTTCATCGGATTTTTGTTGGGGTCAACCCACTAAAGCCAG